CAATTATGTGCCAGGAACTAGAAATACAGCAATTATCACAATGGGTGCAGCCTCTGCATCCACAGAACTTATGGTTATTTACTAGGAATTCTGATTAAGACAAGCACTTTGTACATGCCAGGGGTTGAGTTTGAAAATGCATCATGTTTTGTATTATTCAGAATTTCTTAACCTCCAGAAAGACAGGGGCCGTGAAGCCTGTTTTGCCTGTAGTATATGGCTGAGTAGGTGCTACACAAATATTTTTAAGTCAACAAATTGACTAACCTAAGGCATAAGTCCTCTTTTGCATATGAGGAAATTGAGGTGCCTAGGTGGTATGTGAACCCAGTGCTTTTAGACCCCAAACCCATTCTCCAAAATTTCATGTGATACTGCCTCATAGTCGTGTTTGCTGCACAGTTCAGGCATTGTCCTGTAGTCAGTTCACAATGTGTAAGTCCACTGCCCTGAGCTCACTAAGGGCACCATCATGGCTGGGCCAAAATGATTGCTGATGATAAGCCAGCCGTGATGGTACGTGGGACCCGCCATCGCTGTTAGGTGGGACCAGGCACTGGGACTCTGCAGGGCCATCGCCCGGGATCTTTCAGTCCACTATGTGCATTTGTCTGAGCCAGACAGACCTGCACTTGACTCCTGTACCTACTAGCTATGCTACCTTGGGCAACTTTTTTTTTTTTTTTTTAAACAATTTTGTGCCTTGGTTTCCTCATCTGTAAAATGCAGATGATACTACTACCCACCTTAAAGTCGTGTTCATTTTTTCACTCAAGAAGCATTTCTTGAGTTCCTACCATGTCCCGGTTATGGCTGGAAGATGAGCGACAAGAGTATTTGCGAAGTGTGCAGGTCCCTTGGGTGGGTTCTATACCTCTGAGTTTGAGAACCATTGTGTCCGAGGCTGTAGTAGGAGGGTGCAGTGAGGTTGCCCAGGCACATTTCAGGGCTCAGGGCAATGGTGTGCTGGGAAATGTTCGACAACTGGTTCTCCAAGGGAAAAACATCCGCCAGTTTCCGTGGTGGACATGCCCCTATCCTGGCCAATTTCAAGTTACTGAATGTGGAGTGGGGAAAAGATCCCCTCCATTGGTTCTCCAAGGCAGAGCCAGCCTCCTCTGGCACCAAGTGGTCCTCGGGACCTCTGAGAAGTGGGTGGCAGGTTTATTGCTAGAGGGTAAACCAAAGATTCCTTCAAGAGAGTGCCAAATGGGGAAGAGTGCAACCCCCAGAAGAGTAATTAACTTGAGGCTTTACCAAGAGGTTCTGCTTAACTTGGTGCAGGCTGAGATGCTGGGACAGCTGGAAGATGCAAACTGGATACTCCATGGAGGCTGTTTGGCTCGGGCCTCAGTTTCTCTCGTTGGGTCATCTCTACATGGCTGCTTTAGCAGAATCATGAGAAAGAAGTCATTGTTTTTGTTTTAAGCCACTGACTTGTGGGGTAGTTTATCCCACAGCAACACATAACTACGGTAAGGGAGTTTCCCCCGGAACTTAGATTGTCACATCTACGTTGTGGGCTTGTGCAAGATCAGGATAGTCATCTACTATGTCCCAATGCTTAGACCTGTTTGCAAGACCACATTATTTTCAGGGAGTGGCTTATTCTTAAGCACATGGCTATGATATTGCTTCCTAGAAAACAAAAAAAGAACTGCAGTTTTTTTCTAGCAACTTGCCAAATAGTTGTGCAAAATTGAAAGACAGTAAATTTCTATATGTGTTTGTGTTCACACATATTTGCCACTAAGCCTAAAATAAGTGAAATCAAATAACAAATTTCTCCAATTTATCACAATCATACATCATGGCCCAGGCTGTATATTGGACCATCCGGTTATTTCAGAAGAGTTAGTTGGAATGTATGAATGGCATATGTTGGTGCTCGGAAGAAAGACATAATTACTATTTTCAGGTTGCCTGGTTCCCTATCCTTATAATGAGTAAGATATTTAGAGTCCCGAACTGTTTATGTGACATTTCAATAAGTAATGCAGAGATTTGACAACATTTCCATATTCGTCTTTTAAAGTCTGAATGCCTCTGCCTTAATCCAAGCTCCTTGGCATTTATTACTGTTTGTTACACTAACAAGTAAGATTATGAGAATTCTAATGAAGGCTTCCAGTGAAAAACTCTGTGATTAAAATGCCATAATAACAGTTGCATGCATTTATGTGCCTAATTAGCATAATCTATTTAGCACAAGTAAACATACAAACAGAAGGAGAAAAGCAAGCCCACTGACACTTCAGCTAAAGGAGAATTTGAAATGTGGAGGAGACAATGTAAATATGTAAATGTCTTTGTGTATTCTTTTTATCTCTCTCCTTTCTCATCCTTGCCTTTTTTTTTCTTTTTTCCTGTTTGCTAATGAGAAGACTATATCATCCCATGTGGTCTCTGCTTTACCAGGCTGAGGTGCATTTGGGGCCATCTGCTGGGCCAGCATCCTAAACAATGCCACCCAGAAAGCGCTGGATATATTTGCAGCCACCTTTGACACCCTGGAATAGAAAAAATGGCATCTCAAAGACTACAATCTTTGATGTGTTCACTGTGAACACTTAGTTCAGCTGTTACCCCATTAATGCAAGGCCTGCTTGAGCCTGGCCATGCGGTACCCTGTCCTTCCCCTACCGCCTCCCTTCCCCCACAAACACCACATTGTCAACAAATTAAAAGCAATCATGCCAGGTTTCTAAATTAGTCTCTCTCTGTATCTCTGCTGGCTTCATTATTTTTAATTCTTAATAAAATGTCAGGCAGTAGACTGACTGGCGTCTCCCTCTTGGTATGAGATTTTAAAGAACTTTTTAAAATGTGGAACTGAATACTGGAGTTTTAAAGTAGGATAATGGTGACAACTCCATTCAAGAAGTAACTTAAAGAAATTGCTGGAATCCCAAACATGTTGTAGTAAGGAGACACCATAGGCATGTTCTTTTTTCAAAGCAGGAAATCATTTCTTTAAACAGAAGCAGGCAGGTAGCTGATCTAGCCTCAATGCAGAGAGATGGATGGAAGAAATGTACATGAAACAAGCATGGGAGAGTTTACAGAGTATTGGAGAAATACTAAGTCTTTGAGTTTAATACAACTGAGGCCTAAAGATAGCTGTGCTAGCTCTTGTTTATTAATTTTTTTATTTTCCAAAAACAATCTTAAGTCATGTTAAAAAAACTCCTGAAATACTCATATATAGGGAGCCCTTACAGTGAAATTCATTGAGCTTTTACTATGTCCCAGGCACTGTTCTATATGCTTTCCCCATATTATCAAATTTGACAGTCATATTAAATTGTGAGGGAGACACTGTTACAGATGAGGAAACCGAGACACAGACATTAAGTAGCTCACCCAGAATGGCATTAATTTAATAAGTGAGGAAATCAGAATTCTAACTCAGGCAACCTCAATCCAGAGCCTGCACTCTTAAACAGAAAGCTAATTTTCAATTTTGTATTCTCCAGGGTTTCAGAATCATATGTCTTCGTGGAAAACTACATACCCTAAGAGAAACAATACAGCATAGTGCCTGATACATAGTAATCCTGCAAGATATGCTGGCACTAATATGATAATAACAAAAATCACATCATTATTCACATCATTAGGAGAGACTATTGTTTCCATTCTCACACATTTCTAACACACATTGATATGCATTTTTTCAATTAAAAAATGTTTAAAGAAAGGAGGCCAGAGGGGTACAAAAAAGTAAGAGCATGTATTGCTAAAAGCAAAACAGCCCATTGTTTGACCACTCAGCTCTGTGCTTACCTGCACATATGGTGGCTCCTGGAAGCCAGCATGCTAAGCACCATGTGTACCAAATAATCACAGGGGTAGGTTAAAGAGACAGCCTTCCCCCTAATTTGACCAATTTAGCATTTGGGGAGTAGTCTGTCTGTGCCTATCTTGGGAATTTTTAAACAATGGGTTGAAAGAGAAATCAGGGGAGGCAGACAATATTTTGGAATCAACCTAATAAATGTGAACAGCTGCGATGCGATCATCAGCACAATACATGATGGTCCCTTCCTCCAAGAAAATAAATGTGCACCTCCCCGGGGGTCTGTCCTCTGCCACCCTCCTCTACTCGCAGTATGCTTTCTGCTCGCACTGATGTGCCCTTGTGCCTCCCTCCAGCCCTTGGCTTGAAGCCCTGGACTAGATCAACCAGAGAACAGGCATCCCCACCGGGTGCCCCTCCCGTGTCTCCCCTTCAACTCCTCCAAACAGCAACTCTTCCTCGTGGATTCTCCATCACAGTTGATGAGATGGGGCACCCTCATCCATCCAGCTGCTCAGGCTTAGAAAACTAACAACAAAATTCTCCACTACTCTGCAACCCCACTTGTCCATATGGAGCCATTCAACAAAGTTTGCCCATTTCACCTCCTAAAAATGTCTTCCATCCCTTCCCTCTTCTCCATGTGTCTGCTACTGCCCAAGGTTGGGGTCTTCATTCATGTGCTAGGGCTGCCACAACAAAGTAGCACAGACTGGGTGGCTTAAACAGCGGAAGTGTATTGTCTCACAATTCTGGAGGCTGGAAGTCTCAGATGAAGGTGTCAGCAGGGTTGGTTTCTTCTGAGGCCTCTCTCCTTGGCTTGTGGATGGTCGTCTTCTCCATGTGTCTTCACGTGGTCTCCCCTCTGTGTGTGTCTGTGTCCTAATCTCTTCCTCTTATAAGGACACTAGTCATATTAAATTAAGGGCCCACCCCAATGACCTCATTTTAATTTAATTACATCTTTAAAGACCTTATGTCCAAATATAGTCACATTCTCAGGTACTGGGGGTTAGGACTTAAACATACGAATTTGGGTCAGGGAAACACGGCTCAATCCATAACAGGGTCCTTGTCATCTCTCACCTTGACTACCATGACACCTTGTATTTACTAAGCTTTCTACAACGATCAGATCCTGTATTTTCCATATTTTCTACCAAGGACCATGTATGACTTCTATTACCAGAAAAATACTCACTGATAAAATATTTTGAAGAAAATGGTGGTGTTCTCCTTCCAACTCAGAGACATCTCCTTGGCTATGGTCTGTTCTGCTTTAAGCTTCTCTTTTGTCGTGTTTCTCCATGTTCCATCTCCTGGCCTCAAATCTGGGTTTTCCTCTTCTGTTTCCTTTTCTCAGGCTGGTGAGTCAGCTGGACAGTCATCTGGGTCTGGAGTTGGGGCCAACTTCTTCGGCGTCACCTTCCAGACAACAGAAACACTGATGAGCACAGGGCATCTGAATGGGGCTTTGAGTCATTGTTTGTACTTGTCAGGTGATGCGGTTTGGATATTTGCTCCCACCAAACCTCATGCTGCAATTTGATCCTCAGCGTTGGAGGTGGAGCCTGGTGGGAGGTGTTCAGATAATGGGTCTTGGGGGCAGATCCCTCATTGAATGTCTTGGTACCATCTTCTTGGTAATGAATGAGTTCTCACTCTATTGATTCCTATGATAACTGATTGTTTTAAAAAAGAGCCTGGACCTCTCTCCTCCTCTCTCCTCTTCCTTCCTCTCTCGCTGCGTGATGGCTGCTCTCCTTCACCTTTTGCTGTGATTGGAAGCTTCCTGAGGCCCTCACCAGAAGCAGATGTTGGCATCACACTTCTTGTACAGCCTGCAGAACCATGAACCAGATAAACCTCTTTCCTTCATAAATGACCCAGCCTCAGGTGTTTCTTTATAGCAACACAAACTAAGACATCAGGGAAGAGTGAGAACTATTTGGAAATTGAAACATGGATGTATGTTCTTCAATGCACATAATGGGTTTCATGGAATTTCATCCTAATTCTACAACTTGGAACACTTTTGTCCTTGGAACACTCCCTGTTCTGGGGAGGTAATGGGGACATGGAGCCCTCTCTGTGTCCATCCATATTTCAGCCCTCCAGGAGGCTTTGCCAGGCAAGTTGTACCTCACTCTGGATGAGCCTCTGGACATCAAGAGACATCAGTGGCGCCAAAGCACCATACTAGATTTCAACAGAGGCAGCATGCATGACCCTTCAGAGAATGAAGGGCAGATCCTGGTCCCTGACATAGAGACCCCAAAGCACTCTCTCATCTCACTGTTCAGAATATGTGGATCACCCCTTTGCAGAGTTCTGGCCCTCAGGAAACTTACACCTACCATCTAAAGTTCTACACTTCTACCCTGATTCCCACCCTCCATAAAACCAGGGAGATGGAGCCCCAGCTGCACTGTCTCAGTCAGGGTCCCAGCAGGAAATAGCACACTCAAGTTACTTGGAGAGGGACTAATTTACAAAGGGACTCATTACCACAATGGAGCCAGCATGTAGAGAAGCCACAAGAGATAGTACAGGGGCCAGGAGCTAGCAGAGCCAGAGCTGTCCCCAAAGAACAATGGGAGGGAGAATTTTCCAGAACCTGGAGGAAGGAGAGTTGTGCAGAAAAGGCTGCCTTGGAAGTAACCATGACCTAGTACTGGGGACATAGCTAAGCTGCAATAGACATCACAGGGAGGAAGCCAAGGAGACAAATGCCTCAGTCTCCTCCCCATACCAGGTTGACTGAACTGGAGGAATCCAGGAGCAGAGCGTGGGGTGGAGGCGAGGGAGAGTGAACCCACCAGAGAGGTGAGGCCAAAGGCACTCACCTCTCCATCGTCACTGAGCCTGCTGCGCTGTCTTGCCTCCAACTGGTGGCTGAGTCTTCACTATGGAGGTGCTTCCCAGCATTGCCATAACAAACTGCTACCAACTTCATCGTTTAAAACAATGGATATTTATTCTCTCATAGCTCTAGAGGCCAGAAGTTCAAAAGCAAGGTGTTGGCCAGAGCGCATTTCCTCTGAAGGCTTTAATGGAGAATCCTTCCTCACTTCTTCCAGACTCTGGTGACCTCAGGCATTCCTCAGCCTGCTGCTGCATCACCTCCATCTCTGCCCCTGGCTGGCCTTCTCCTGGCTGCATCTTCTCCTCTTCTGTCTGTCTCAAATCTCCCTCTGCCTTTCTCTTATAAAGACACTTGTCATTGGATTTAGGGCCTGCCTGGTAATCCAGGATGATCTCATCTCAAGATCCTTAACTTAATGACATCTGCAAAGACCCTTTGTCCAAACAAGGGCACATTCACAAGTTCCAGGGATCTGCACATATTTTTTTAGGGGGGTGCACCATTCAACCCAGGACAAGGGGCAAGCCTCTTAATCCTTGGAAAATAGTCCTGGAAGGAAGCCCCACACTATCAGAAGACCTGCTGGCTCCTGCTCAAATCCATGCCTTGGACCTCCAAGGGCTCTGCACCGCCCCCACCCCACCCACCCCCCTACCAAGGAGACTCAGGTGGCAGGTCCTGCCTGACTCATTGTCAGTATAAGGGGCCTAGGGCAGTTTATGGGCCACGTCAGCCCCTCGGGGAAGATCTGTCCAGTGCTGAAAGTAGGGTGTTAAAGTCTCTAGCAATTATTGTACTGGGGTCTATCTGTCTCTCTATCTCTAATAATATTTACTTTATATCCCTGGTTGCTCCAGTGTTGGGTGCATATATATTTGCAATGGTTATATCCTCTTGCTGAATTGACCCCTTTATGTTATGCTGCCAACCCATGCCACCCACTTCACACCAGCTTTCTGCTAGGAGCTCTGCCTGCGCTGTCCCTCACGGAGACATGTTCACCTCAGCTGCCAGCCCTAGGCCCAAGACCCAGTAACTATGCTGGAGGTGATGATGACCTCCCAGATCTTTTCCAGAAACATCCCCCACCACTTCAGGGCATTCACAGCTAAAGGTATACTTGGTCAGAGCAGCTAAAGGTATACTTTCAAAGTGAATCAAGCATCCCATAGCAGTAGGAAAATGTAGTTCCTAGCATTTAAGATCGTGATTCCTAGGCATGACAGAGATTGCTGGGTTTTTACCCCAATATTCATTCTCCTCTATTTTTACCATTCTATTCCCTATTGGGCTCCAATTGGTGGTACCTGGCCATCCATCTAAAGACTACACTTCCCAGCCTTACTTGGCTTTAGGTGTCGCCATGTGACTAAGTGCTGGCCAATGGGATGTGAGTGGAAGTGATGAACGCAGCCTCTGGGTCCTGCCTTAAGAGAAGGTGGTGTGCCCTCTACTTCCCCCTCTTCCCACTGTTGACTGGAATGCATACATGATGGTGGGAGCCACAGCAGCCATCAGCACAAGAGAGGAAAGGCACCACAGGAAGGATACCAATGCAACAAGATAAAAAAGACACTGTGGAGCCACCGTCTCAGCTGAGGGATGCTCCATACAGGCCGTTACATGACAGAGAAATGTTGGCTCAGCTGTTATGCTGAGATGAGGGTTTGTGGCTAAGTGATCTATCAATAAAAATACTTCCAGGGGAGGCTGCTAAGGGAGTTGGCAGGGATAGGGGGAAACTAAGCCAGAGAGGAAGCCAAGAAAGACTGAAATCTCAGGCAAAAGTCCTGCTAAAGAGGCTGGGCTTCTGCCTGAACCCACAAGGGATCTCTAGAGTAAAAATTATGCCTTGGCTCAGAGCTATGAAACCTTGCACCGTCATTGCATTCAGTTCTCTCCATAGTCAGCAAAGCATCCCCAGGAGTCCACGCACAGCCCTGTGAAGATGAGTTGAAAATGTTGGCTATTGAGAGAGGAAGCACACCAAAGCTTAAAGGCATGCAAGGAATGGGTAAAAAGGGACTGGAACGGATCTGTCTGGACAGATGTCTTTGTTATGCTCAAAAGCATAAAACAAAAAGAAAGGGTGAAGGGGCAACCAGGACCTACAACATCTGCTACATAAGTTGGTCTAGGGTGAATCCTGATCACCACCCCCACTTCCTGCCTGGCATCACGAGTGACCAGAACATGCTCACTCACCTTTCCCTCACAGCATCCTCTAAAGTGAGGGATAGCCTCCTAATATTGCAATATTGTGTGAACCTGGAGTTTTGTTATCATTCTGCCCAGAGTAGCAGTCAGGATTCAAACTCAGTTGATAGAACAAAGACGTCTGCAGCAGAGAGATACCCCTCCAGACATCCAAAAGTCCCCACTCAGAGTTCAAAAGTTTGTTACCTTGGGTTAGTATTTGGTTTCAGTGCATTAAAAAAAACCAACATGATGGCTTTAACAAAGCAGAATGGTTTGTTCTCTCATCTAAGAGACCAAAGATTTGGTCCCCAGCAAGTCTGGCACCCACAGTATCAGGGAGCCAGACTCCTTCTCTGTTCATGCTCTTTTATATGTGGCCCCACAGCCAACTTATGATCCTCAACGGCTCTTCCAGCCTCCACCATCACGGAGGTTGGGGTTCCGCCTAGCTGGGAGATGAGAATGGAATGAGAAGAACATGCTCTCTCTCTGAAAGGATACCTCTGGAAGTTGCCCATGCCACTTCTGTTTACTTCCTACTGGCCAGAACTTGGTCACAAAGGAGGCTGGGATATGTAGTTTTTATTCCAGGTGGCCACATGCCCAGCCAAAAAGTGCATTTCCATACAGAAAGTGGAACAGATTTGGAGGAATGATCAGCGATGTTTGCCACGCTGCCATATGACTAGGGAACCCTTGTGTTAATCACATGCACTCTAACCGCCTCTCAGGGCTGGGGAGGGAATCAAAGAAATTGTAATAATTATGATCACAATTACTTTGAGCACAAAATTTGATAGCAGAGATGCTGTAGGACCTCAGCACCTATGACAATTCATGGCACAGGAAGGGAGGTCAATAAACATCAGTTCAACTATTTACTTAAAACATAAATATTCCTCAGCAGATATAATGCATTGATGCACCTGGGCTGCTCCACCCAACTCCTTGGAAAAGTCACTGTTAAATCTTTGGAAGGATTGGAAATGGTCCCAGATGTTGAAATCGTCTGTAATTCGTAGCATTGATGTTTTGAGGAAGGAAGTGACACTTTATTATTCTCCCATGTAGTGCCACAGTGGTCAGTCTCGTCACCTATTCTGACATCCAAATTAGAAATCATCTTTTCCCTGGACTTAGGAAAATAAAAGTTGAGCATTTAAATCAGCCGTCAGTCAGGCAGTCTGTCTTATACATTGCAACATAAATGGGGACAACAACAGTTAAGTGACAATTTGGTAACATCTACCAAAATTACAATGCACAGATTAAGTGGCCCAGTAATGCTAATTCTAGGGATTTATCCTTATGATATACGACATATCTACACATGTGCAAATGAAAATTTGCCAGGTATTTC